TCAGACTCTCAAATTATTCTTTGTTTAGAAAACGATGCCATTATTTCATGCTAGTGAGTAACAAATTTAGTAAACCAAATATCAAATTTGAATTAATATTAAAGATTGTGGTATTCTCTCTACTATCTGAGACATTTATTGAATTATAGTATATAAAAATAAATCTTTATTGACACTGAAATTTGCTTTAAAATTGGAATAGATTGCCACATAGGTTTAGAAAAAATTCTCTTGTTTAGTGGTTGTTTTTTAAAGAATGGATTCTCATCTTTTTAGACTAGTTTCCTAAAATAAATAAACAAGTAAACAAATAAACTAGTTTCCTTTCTACTCGATGATTTCTTAAGATCTCATCATTAAATAATCAATAATTTAACAAGTTGTTTTCTAGTACCTATTATATTGTCATAATTTGCCAAGATATACTGGCATGGTATTCTGGAAACAAAAGAAGACTTGTAATTTTACTTACTTGAAATTCTTCTGATTAGATAACTTTTTAAATTATATTTTTTAAAAGGAAGAAAAAAAAGAAAGTAAAAATCTGCCTTTTGGACCAGAAAAAAGTAGCAAGACTGACTACTTGTTCTAAATTTAAATTAACACAGGACTCGATTAAATCATTCCTGTGACACACAAAGTCACTCAAAAACTTATGGTCTTATACATATACTAGAGGCCCCTTGCAGGAAGATTTCTGCAAGAATAGGGCTTCCTGTGTCCTGAAGCTTGCTTCTCCGCAGCTTCGCTCCCTTCTGCAGTGCTTGGCTTCCTTCTACATTGTCTTCAGTCTTCGCTCCGAGCGCCTGCGTATGCAAATTAACCACCATCTTTGCATACTCATCTGATTGGCTGGTGGGCATAGTGAAGTGACACCAATTTGCATGTTTCTCTTTTATTAGTGTAGATATCCACAGTTGATCAGTTCTAGTATGCCATTAGTTGTAAAACTCACAATTATTTTATGAACCACTAAGAAAGAAAAAACACTGCCAATTGAACCACAGCGTACCATCAATTATGAGTCCTGATAAAATGTGGAAAATGTGTATTTTAGAATCAGTGTAATAGGGTATAGATTTTGTGACCATTTGATGAATATTCGTTGCACCCACATATATGAGACCATGGTCTATGCTTCCTTTGTTCATTATTGTACCATGGCCGGCACTAATAAACTCTTAATAAATCTTTGAATGTATGTGTAGATCTAATAGTGAAGTTTGCCTTACACACAAAGTGCCTAAGTGATAAATTAAAAAACACATTTAAAATCAGCACTAACTGCTAAGTATGTGCTGGAAAGTAACAATTTATTTTGAAGTGATATATATCTCCTTGAAAAGAAGTCCTGGAAATGATTAAATTATCATTAAAAAAAAAAAAAGAACTGCCCACCTCCATGGGAAACAGGCAGAACTTGATTTGTAAAGCTTAAGTGAGTAATTTGAGGTGTTTGATATAACAAGTAAATTGGGTGGGGAGAGCAAGCTGTTTTCACCTCCTACTCTTCTCTGTTTTTAAAAGACAGCCAAATTCAGATCTAGGAGAAAAGCAGTTCTATGCTTTTATAGAAACCTGTGAGGGAGATGTCATTCTGTCCATGCATTTAACAGAAGAAAGCAGACTCTTCATCTAAGTCCATGCAGGACTTATTATTACAGTGGGGTAATTATGAAATAGAATTCCCATATAGCACGATGCTGTTCAAAGAAGAATTCTGTCTGTTCTCCAAGGGAAGTGACACACTTGACTCCTGGTGTTATTTGAAAGCCTGTTCTTTCCTCTGCCTTCTGACACCTCTACCACACTCCTTATTCCTTGGAATCACCATCACCACCATCAAATCATCACCCAGTTCTGGTCCAAAGTGGTCCACGGAACCGACTGGACCAGACCAAAAGTGTCAAAATAGAAGTAACAGGGAGCAAAAATGGCTATCAGAAGGGGATAAGAGTTATATTTATATTTGCACAGGATGTCTCTTAAGAACTCAAGGAAGCATTGTGAATCCTCCAGGTGAGTTACTGTGGACCTCAGTATGAATGAGTTAATAGTATTAGGTCCCAGGCAGCTATTGACAAAGTTAACAAAAATTCATATGAACTCACCTAGACAGATATTTGTGACATAGCCTTAATTTTTTAAAAAAGTTGCACACCAGTATGTATTGTATTTTCAGTTTTTTAAAGAGAATCTTTGGGCTCGTCCTGGCCGGTGAGGCTCCGGTGCTTAGGCCTCCTCCTGTGTATGGAAAGGCTGCTGGTTGGATGCCAGGTCAGGGCGCATGCCCCACGTTTGGCTGGATCAGATTCACTCTGCACGGATGTTTCTCTCACTCACTCTACTTTCCTCTCTCTGTAAAAATCAATAAACTATTTTAAAAATCTTTGGGCTATAAATATATCTGTTCGAAAACATTAATGGTTGAAAGGAGTCAAAGTGTCCTCAAGAAGATTTTGTCTAGTGGGGGAGATAAGACTTGTATGTTAATAAAATTATGACACTAAGATGGATAGTAAAAAACAGTTTAAAAGAGGATCAGCTCTCCTCTCTCTCTCTCTCTCTCTCTCTCTCTCCTCTCTCCCTTTCCCCCCTTCTTCCCTCTCCCCTCTCTTCTACTCTCTCTGAAAAGCAATGGCAAAAAAATGTCCTCAGGTGAGGATTAACAACAACAAAAAAGAGAGAATCTGATAAGGTACCAAGAGAATCCAGAAAAGAAATAAATTTAATCTGAATGAAAGCATCAAGGAATGTTCTTAACTGGGCTGTAAAGATGTGTGTGAGGGTTTACAGAGTGGGTACAGTCAGAATCCACTTTAAAAAAAATCCTCTCCTCACCCTAGCTGGTTTCGCTCAGTGGATAGTGTTGCCCTGCGCACTGAAGGGTCCCGGATTTGATTCTGGTCAAGGGCACATGCCCATGTTGTGAACTTGATCCCCAGTAGGGGGCGTGCAGGAGGCAGCCCATCAGTGATTCTTTTTCATCATTGATGTTTCTCTCTCCCTCTCTGATGTTAATAAAAAGATATTTTAAACAAACCCTTTCAGTGTAGTTGAGTTTCACATACAATAATAATGTGCTTATAGAAATGCATGTACACTATGGATAGCTGTGTACTATATATGTCTCCGTATCCTATATAATAAAAGGGTACTATGATGCGCACTTACCACCAGGGGGCAGATGCTCAATGCAGGAGCTGCCCCCTGGTGGTCAGTGTGCTCCCACAGGGGGAACACTGCTCAGCCAGAAGCCCAGAAGCTGGGCTCACAGCTGGTGAGCACAACAGCAGTGGAGGCAGCCTCTCCTGCCTCCACCGCAGCGCTCCTGAGGGCTCCGGGACTGCAGGAGGGCACAGGCCAGCTGAGTCCCCCACCATCGACTGCATGAATCCCGTGCACCGGGCCTCTAGTGTGTGTGAGTGTGTGTGTGTGTGTGTGTGTATAATGAATAATACATATATGTAATATATATATAATATATATGTTTACTGTCACATATCAATTTATTAATAAATGTATTTTTTTAAAAATCCTCACAGAGGATATTTTTCCATTGAATTTTAGAGAGAGTGAAAGGGAGAGGGAGAAACAAAGAGAGAATCATGGATGTGAGAGAGACACATCAATTGGTTGCTTCCCACTCTTGCACTCCGACCAAGGCCAGGGATCTAGCCTGCAACTAAGGAATGTGCCCTTGACTGGAATCAAACCCGGAACTCTTCAGTCCAGGGGCAGACACTCTATCCACTGAGCCAACCGGCTAGGGCTAAACATACATTTTAATAACTTACAGAATCTTAAAGGGGACTGCAAACTCCATCATAGGATGTTAGTAGCATTCCTGGCCTCCCTCCACTAGATCTCAGTAACATTCCCCCCAGGGGTGACAACCAAAATTGTCTCTGGACATTGCCAAATGTTTCCTGGAGGACAAAATAGTCCTCAGTTACGAACCATTAGTTCTTAATTCTTATCCAGTAAGAATTCCAAAGTTCATGATTTGGATTTTCTTTTTCGGTCCCTTCTTCAAGGTTTATAACCTTGTTGGATCAAGAAAGCTTTTGAAGATCTGTTGAAAGCTGGTGGCTCATTCATTCCTCAGAAAAAGCTCCTGTGCGCATCATGTCCAGTACAATGTCAGGACTTTGCACTTGCGTTCTGTCTCTGGGAGCTTAGGGAACTGTCTGGTCTGTGTTTCCCAGCTGGGTGGGTACCCCAAGGCTGGTGTCCAGAGCCACTCCGTGTTTACTGCAGAACACTGGTAATCAGGAGAGAATCATCCTGTTCACCGAACTCGCTCTCCCTTCTGTCAACCTGCACGTCAGTTTAAACAAGAGTCTTCCCAGAAGAAAACACAACACTGATGAGGTAGGATAGATCCGACTTCCTCTCACTCTCTTTTGGTCTAGATTCCTGTCTAGTCCGGCATATTCCCTCCTGCATGGTGCAGATAAATGAGAAGATAGAACCAAAGAGTCAGCCAGGTAAGAAAGGGGCCACCTGGACACTTGGTTTGATTGTGAAATATGAGAGAGAGAGAGAGAGAGAGAGAGAGAGAGAGAGAGAGAGAGAGAAAGAGAGAGAGAGAGAGAGAGAGAGAAACTATGTATCTTAAATTTATGAACAAATCATGAATTCTCTGTAGCCACCACTCACTGGGTACTTCTAAAGAAAGACTTCCTAGAAGTCCAGAGCCTGTATTTCTAAGTACAAACCCGGCCACTGCCCCTCTCACCTCGCGTGAGAGCGGTGCGTCAGACTGTGGAGTTCCTGATTCGCACAACCCGGGCAAGGCCAGCGATCGCTGACACCTACGCAGGGCCCTGCACTGCCACAACAAGTCCCCCCGGGCGGCCTGGCCCCTGGCTTCCCAGTCTCCATTAGTGAGTGACGGCCAGTAAGGTTCTGGACAGAGAAAGAATGCGGGAGGGGTAGGATTTACTTCCCGGCAGGACAGATGGGGAAAGACAGATGCCTGTGTGTCCCTCTTTTCGACTCAGGTGTCTCTATTGCTCCATAAATAAAACGTGTCCCTGCCTTCTGCGAGCTCTATAAAGGCAGCGGAACGGCCGTGCCCGGGGCATTCCGGGCAGGGCACGAGCAGAGCCGCAACAGGTGAGATCGCCGCTGCAGGTGTCGCCCTCGCCACCCAGCCCGGGCTGGACTCCTAGGAAGAGTCGCTGGTTGGAGATGGGACCCGTGTGGGGGCCTGGAGCGGGCGGGCGGGGGCAGGACAGCTTTCTTTCTGAGAAGCTGTGAGTGAGGAGAAAGCTGGGAGACAGGCCGGAGGAGAGATCTGCCCCGCCCGCCCCAAGTTATGTCCCCAGGGGAGAGGCGACCTGCACGGGGAACCTGCCTGCAGAGCGCACGGCCTCGGACCCGGGCGCGCGGCCGGAGGGTCCCACGACTGGCGCGGGGCTGCGCTTCTCTCTAGTGCGCGCCTGAGGCTGCGCCCCGGCTCAGGGGCGGGGGGCGGGGGGCGGCGGGAGAGGGACGCTCCTGAGGTCCCGTTCCAGCCTGGCCCTTGCCCGGGTTCCAGCCCGAGTTTGGGGAGATTTCAGAACGCGGACCGTGCCCTGGCGGCCCGCCTGCGGGGACTGACTGGGTCCAGCTCCCGACGCCCCCAACGCGGGGCTCACTCCTCTCAGAGTTGGGGAGCCCCGGGGAGCAGGTGCGGGCTGCGCAACCAGAGGTCTTCAGGTGGCCCCTGCAGGTGGCGGCGCGCCCGGGCGGTCCAGGCTCTCCAGGACCCGCTGGCCGCCGGTCGCCTCTCCCTGTCCCGTCCTCTTGACCGTTTCTTCTCCTTCCCGGTTCCCTCGCCTCCTTCCTCGTCCTCCTCCTCCTCCTCCCCGAAGGTCATGGAAGCGCCCGGCCGCAGGTCGGAGCCGCTCCCCGAGTACAGCGGCAGCTACGTGGTGTCGAGGCCGGTGTACAGCGAGCTCGCCTTCCAGCGGCGGTACGAGCGGCGCCTGCAGGAGCGCAGGACGCTGCGGGAGCGCCTGGCCCGGAGCTGCAGGTCAGCGCCGGCCACGCGTCCGTCCTGGTGGGAGGAAGGCTCCGTGGTTCTCCTTGGGAAGTTGACTCTAGTCTCGGAACTTCTCTTTGGGGAGAGGGTGTCCCGGGAGTCCTGTCTCTCTTCCTCTTTGGGGGACATCTGGAGCGCTCCTTGGGGATCCAGCGGGTCCCCACTGCTTTGTGGTGATGGGCAGGCTGAGGAGAGTGGGGAAGAAAGGGGCTCGATTAAAGAGAGATGATGGGTGAAGGCATCACCTGACCAGGAGGAGTCCAAAGCCCAAGCTCCTTCAGGCAGGATGCCACCCAGAGACGGGAGTGACGGCCAGACAGACGCGGGAGAGCGCAGTGCCCCGCGGCCTTCCCATCAGGCGGGGGACCCGGGGAAAGCCTCCGTCCGTCTCTGCACCCAAACTGGCCGCCTGTTATTAGATATCCCAGACACAGAATTAGAGAACCGGCGATTGCTGCCGGATTCTCTCTTTAAAAACCTTTTTTTTAAAAAAAAAAATAGAACATTTAAAATACATATAAAAGTAAAGAGTAGTATAAAGAACCTCGTCTCCATGTTTTTATCCATCACCCAGCTTCAATGACGATCTACTCCAAGTTAATCTTCTTTCATCTATTGACACCCACTTGCCACTCTCCCCAACCTTGTTTCTCTTTTTCTCTCTCCATATATATGTTGGGGCAAAAGTAGGCTTACAGTTGTTTGTATGGAAAGTAATACAATAATTAATGGATAATAATACAAGAATGAACTTTGTGTTTCTCATACTCACAACTGTAAACCTCCTTTTGCTCCAAACCCCTGTGTGTGTGTGTACTTTTGCTCTACCTACTTTTGCCCCACCATGCATACATGTATATAATATATATATATATATTCTTAAAAATATATATCAGTACATGTAAGTACTTAAAATATATATATAATCACAATTCCATTATCAGGAGTCAAAGAATGTTCACTTACTGTTAATATTGTTTTCTTTTATCTCTTGGTTGTTGAGTTTAAAAAATACCAGCTAGCAAAATACAGCAAGGTGTGCATTTATCATGCTAAGAGTTTTGTAAAACTGGTTCCAAGCTTGTATTGGCAAAATATACAGAGCATGTTTATTTTTCTTAAAAGAAAAAGAGAAGTAGAAGAAGGCGCCTGGGGATAGAAGTCTGAAAATTAATCTCCATTTGGAGACTCCCCATTGATCAATGTATGGCTGGACCAGAAAATGGGTTCTTGTGTAGGGATATTTTCTCAGAGGATTAAGAAGGTGGGGGTGGGGGACACTTAATCCTGTGTTTCTTACCACGGTGCGTTTAAAAGGGTAGATAGAGTTCTTGGCAAAAGCATGGTCAGTACTTCAGTGTTGATATTTGCGATTCTCATTCTCTTTCTAAATAGTTGTAAACATTTAGAAACCACGAAGGGCTCAGTTCAAAACTTTGTGATTGCTTGCGGCTGAGATGAGATTGGAAACCCAGTTTTCTTGCTTTTTGACAGCTGTTCAAGAAAAAGAGCCGTTGGTGTGCTGAAGACTCTCTTGCCCATCTTGGACTGGCTCCCCAAATACCGAGTCAAGGAATGGCTGCTCAGTGACATCATCTCGGGAGTTAGCACTGGGCTAGTGGGTACCCTGCAAGGTAAGGTGTTGGTGGACTGGCCCCAGTGGTTATGAATTAGTCTCCAGAAGCAGTTCATGACTCCCCGCCCCCCAAATCCCCCCGCCACTCCCCCAGGCTCCCATGGGTCTGTACCAAGAGCTTGCTCACCTTTGAAGGCGTCATCTTTCCTCCAGAGCCTCTTAGTGGAGGAAGTTGCATCTTTCTTCCTCCTCTTCCTTAGAGTTCTCTTTCTGGGAAACTGTGCTGTTTCTCTCAGGGGTGGGGAACCTCTTTTCTGCCAAGGGCCATTTGGATATTTATAACATCATTCACGGGCCATACAAAATTATCATCTTAAAAATTAGCCTGCTATATTTGGTCAGTTAATTAACTCACCCCTAATGCCTTGGCAGGGCCAGACCAAATGGTTCTCAGG